AAATCAAAAAATAGGAGGGGTGATTTCGACATTTTTAAAGTTTTTCAAGAATTAAGGTTTGTCAAAGTTTATATCTAGATGTAGCATTGTTGAGTATTTTGAATTACTTGATTACTTAAGGTGTGTTTGTTGATTATTTAAAACTCTTTAGTAGTTGAATTTGGTGTCCGTAAGTTTTGGCCAAAGATGTTCTTTTGTGTTTGTATGTTTAAGCTTGTGTAAAGTTAAGACATCTCTCATTTTGCATCAAAAGAAATTCTATAGCTAATTGCACTCTTCTTAGATATGATCAATTGCACTTTTATCCTATACGAGTTTATCATAAATATTACCTCTAGTAACAACCATTGATCCATTGTTGAGTTTTTATCTTTCATCTCTAAAATGATTATAGTATCCGAGTAATGTCTAAAGCACGAGTAGAAATTAGATTCGGGCATAAATTTGGTACAAGCATCATACTTTTCCAAGTTAGTATACAACATATACATGTCTTTATACACACATCGCCAACTTTAAAAACATTAACATAACTATTATTTTTCATCTTTGCTCTAAGTCTTCTACTTTATACACAATAAGGAATTTTTTCCTAAAAATAGTATGATACGCGATCGTTGAGTCAACAACTCATTCAACACAAGAATCTACAATAGTGTTCTTATTATTTTCTTCGTGATTCTTCAATTCTTCTTATTCTTTCTTCTATGCTTTGTAATTTCTCTTGATGTGACTTTTTCTTCTATCATATAACATTTAAAACTGCCATCAATCTTTGAACTGCCTCTAGATTTATGCCAACTAAATTCTCTATTCCTACTCCTTCCTCTATTCTTTATGACAAAAACTTGTACTTTATTCGCTACCACTTCGTTTCATCTTATTTTTCCATTGAATAAGGTATGTTTAACTATGAAAAGCGACAAAACATCATTTGAAGCAAAATGATCAAATACCATAATCAAAGTCTCCCACCTATTTTGTAAAGTCTCCAATAACTATAGTGCTTATAACTTATCATTTAGCACTATTTTCATGATTATTAACTAATTAATTAAAATTCTATAAGTCACTCAAGTGTTTGTGTTTAGTAATAGATATTTCATCTCTTTCAAATTTTGCAAGCTTTCTAATAATAATAATAAAAAAGCTTTATTTTGAGCAATGCGACAATCCACGGGATATTAAACTAATCCTTAGCACTAAATTGTAAGGTCTCATAACAAACATCGAAGAAATTCAATGTGAACTATTAATTCATATTTAATGGTTCTATCAGACCCTACAATCTGCTATCAAATTTCAGCATTTCGGTGTAGAAATCTAACTTTACTTGTGACATGTATTGTTAGATACAGGATACTAAAATGATAAGCTTTCGAACAAATTGACAACCCCCTAAAAGTAAACGTGTACATTTTGCCTCCCCTTTCGTAAAGTTTAGGAAAACGAATCCATCACTGACCATGAAAAAAGAAAATTGTGATATATATTTTATGTTAGCATGTTTTGATTTTGGATATAATAGGTGTGCATCGCATAAAACTCCTTTTTAGACTAATTGTTCTTAAGACTAGTAAGAAAAATACGAATCCAAGATTGATACCTTTTTAATCTCTTAGAGCATTAAGAGAGAGAGAGAGAGAAAACCCACCATTTCTAATAATATTAGTAGATATTTAAGGCAAAAGCACAATTTGATGGATGACAGAAAGGCTTTGTAGTGTTGGCACCACAGCTTGCTCCTACCACTTTACCAGGGAATCACTCATTTAGGGACTGGTCCTGCTGTATATAATGCGGCATGCATTCACAGTAAAATTATCCCAGAATAGTATGAGTCTGACGAGGGGTGATTTGATTGAAGGATTAATAATTGAATCTATAAAATGATTGATTTTCAAAGATAATGAAAAGACCATATAAATAGTTTTGTTGGGTCTGGATCTGGAAGAGATGACATTATTATGTCTATGGAGACATAACACGAAGGTGACCAATTGATTGATAAATGGATTATTTTAGATCTTCCAGAATTTACAACCATTACGGTAATGTTTGAGCCAAAAATAAATAAATAAATAAATAAAAAGATTACTCTTTCCATTATGGTAATTTAGTACCTCATCTATTGGCACTTAACAGGATTGAGCACCAGGCCATGTCAACCTCCACTTCAATGTGCAAGATCAGTAACAACGACAGATGAAGGGTGTCGCTTCCCATCTCTTTAAAAAAGGACCAGCGTGCCCTACCTATGTACTACAGACGTTGGACACATAAAGAGAACCCATAAAGGCTTTTTGTACACTGCTTCTGTTCAACCCTAGTACTAGTCTTTTACTGTCATTAAGATTTCACCAAGAGATGTCCCATGAAAATTAAATGGATTTGGTTCAATGCCAATCTAGTTCAGCGTCTTGGACTAGTATGATCTTTTAGAGGTCCCAGACAATGGTTAAGTATAAGTTGAGAAGGAAACAGAAAAGATTGCAACTCTTCACAGATTGCTGTTCGCTATGCAATTCACAGGCACGACAACCAGTAATGAGCATTGGACATCATACGTATATTATATATGGGACAGCAGAATGATCATAATGAGCAAAGAGTAACAATATAAACCAAAAAAATATTGAAGAATATGATTTTTTCATTACAAAAAAAAAAAAAAAAAAGCACAATTACCGTTGACAGGTAGGGCTAGAACTTCATGGGAAACATCCCTCGTCCGGAGAGACCCAGGCTTAAGTCCTCCCTCCCTCCTCCCTGAGCTCAAACGAGTAGGGAACATTGCCGTAATGAATTTAACATTGTATATTATGAAATAGGCCCCTTGCTAGTAAGAAGTGACTACTAGTACTCCTGTGGCCAGACACTAGTCATCGTTACGAATATCATATCATTTTAGGTAGGGTTACAGTGGAGATGAGACAATACGAGACAACATACTGGTTTTTTGTTCACATCTGTTTCAAAGTGGAGAACCAAACGGGATAAAATAAATAAATAAATCTCTAACTCGTTCTTTATTGTGCATATTATGATTGGCATTTGGTTTAGACTTTTTTTTTTTCATTATATTATTGTTTAAGTATTTTTAGATTTTTTTAACTATTTTTAGATGCGTATTTTTTTTTTTTTTTTGTATGGAAAAAAAATTGTATTTTAAAGTAAAATTAGTTAAACATTAATCCTCGTATTCTCACCTTTATATCTAAAAATTGAAATATAATATTAAAACCATTTTTTTCCCTATTTTACTATATTATATGCTTGTATTATATTTTTTAAAAAAATATTTTTTTCCCTATGAGTTGAGTACTCATCCCAAGCCACAGGGAAATGCCATCAACTGATAGATTAGGTCATTCTTCGTCACTGAACAAACTTAGTTGATAAACATGGTTTATGACCGCTAAGGTACCAGCTTGTCCAGGCTTTAACAAACACCATCCGTTTCAAATAAAATTACACCTCTCTTTTCTTTTTTTCTTTTTTTACCGAGTTTTACGGGTAAAAAAAATAACTCGGGCAAAGCTAAAATTGATAAATGAAAGGCATGGCCTGAATTTTGTAAAATTTACAAGGATAATTGATACGATATTTCATATAAGTTTTTTATCAACATCTCCCATGTCATATAGAAACGGTGGTCCGAAAAAGTTAAACCAAGTTTTGTCTAAAACAAGGACAAAATTGGATTTTGCTTTCGTCTTGATGAATCAAGCATGTTTCAATCTTGTACATGTTCCTTCCATCTTGTACTCCGAACCAAACCCAACGTTGGGGTACTTAGAATAGTTCAAGGAAGCAACACTGCAATATTTGTATCGTCAGAGGGTACAAAACTAAAATAATATTAATCGCTAATTACTCGACAAAATGAGGCCTGCCAACAATGGGCAAGTGGCTGAAGGCTAGTTTTGTGGCCCTATACAAGAGTGGACTATCACACCTAGAGTGGCACCCTAACGGAAAAATATTTTTTAATTCTCTAACATGATATAACCAACGTCATGAAGATGTTCAAAGACACCGAAATTTGTAGCTCCTACATCTTTTTCCTTTTTCTTTCGTATTCTTTTAAACTGTATATTTTTAATTTTTGCCAAGACGAATCTGTGTAAAAAAATTCTAGGGAACCATGATCTTTGCATTTCTTTTTTTTTTCCCTATATCTTTTTCTTGGTTACAACCCTTCCTTGCTGTGCCATGCTTGCTTTTAGATACAATTAAGAATTATGGAGGACAAAGCATGCGCTTCAACCTGAGGCATAACACCGACCTCAAGGAAGGTAGTAGATACCTGCTTGCCCGACTAGTTGGCCGTTAACTGCCCACAGAGTTTTGCCGGTGGGGATGGCATCAAATAGTAGATCCCAGGGGACCTGCACTGACGAAAAATAAATTGATGGTCAGCATATCAGAAAGTTCACACATCAAAAACAGATCCAGCTAAAAGTTCACATATTTTATGGGTTCAGCTCCACTCCCATTGTCACCAAAACTGAATCCCATGGAAGCAAATGCCAAACCATAGGCATAAATAACGAATACAGTCGCAGAAAGAAAGTCAACAAATAAATAGGCAACTCCATAGATCCATATAATCTACATGTTGCATCAGGAAACTTCATCTAATCTCAATACACTACCTCTTCATTTCCTTCTCTCTTTCTTCTTTTCGTTCACCATGTCCTAGATAACTAGGATTGGAAATACAATGTTTGAACCTCAATGTTCTTTAAATATATAATTAGACAGGAAAAACTAGCTCTATATTGTGGAAACCAACAAGTGTTGCTGGTTTGAACAAATGCAGCGTAGCGGTACATAGTACTGAAATGACTATATGACAATTATTACTGACCCATGAGAAGAAAAATCAATCCTGTTCGGTTGGCAAAATAAAGATGCATATTCACAATTCAACAGAAATAGAAAGTTGTAAAGATCTATACTGGTAGTGGCACTCACACCAAAAATCAAGTTCATATTCATATACAAAGTGCACCCATGTCAGGCAGCCCACCATCAGATCCACTGGGTGGCACAGATAGATCATGTCGTTTCTTGCCGTGCTTTGTTTCTTTTCTACCTTTTCTAGAGTCAACTGTTCGGTAACTGACACAACAAAGATGCTGCATTAGATAACAAACTTTTCTGCTGGGGTGATGGAAACATGATTAAACTTCAGTGACAACTATAGGAAAAAAAGAACAATAAAGAATTTTGTGCAACAGCAAAGCATATCACCAGCCTTAAGATTGAAACCTATTTTCTTAGTTATGGGTGACATCATGGTTAAGAGAAGCACTTGAGAAACTTTCCTGTCTGTTTTCTGTATCTAAAAAATATTTCATCCTCACCAATCAAAGCAATAGCAAAACCACACACACACACAGGTGCTGGAGTTCAAGAACATACACAATCTTAGTAGAAGATCTTCCCTTCACAGCCCCACAACAAGCCTTGTGTTTCTTTTTAGATCCACAGGGACAGTTCTTGTTTCTTGGAAACTTCTGCAGCCACACAATGACAATACAATAATGTTTATAGTAACAACAACAACAGCAACAACAATGAAAATAATAAGATTGGCAATGATAATCACAAAATTAAGGAATAAACGACAGGCACCAATAACTTCAGTTTCAGGGAAGAATTGACCAAAGTCCAAAGTATTCTGATTTCAGTATAAGGAAAAACCTTGTCATCTGCTCTGGAACTGCTATCATCATGGATTTGTTTGGTGTGATTATTTGATGGAAATTGTTCGTTGGTCTTCGTTACAGGTTCTTCCTTGCATTGTTCATAGTTTCCTTCTCCACTGTCTCCTTGACATTCTAAGAATCATGAAGATTGGATTAAAAAAAAATGTAAAACTAACACTGAATATCTTGGAAAGCAAGACCAAAATGTACTGGATGACTGATATTGAAAGTTTTTTAACACATTTTTCTGGTGATGTTATGTATACAGTAGTAATAACAGACACAAATGCATGCAGGCACACACAAGTAACAAATATAATGAAGTTTCCTTCCAAATCCTTGCATTTATCAATCCCCAGAATAAATAGTTTTAATGCAAGCACACACTAGGGTGTTCAATTAAAGCTGAAATGCTAGGGAACATATGCCAAGTCATTGATTCAAACACCGATAATATTCTCGCTCAACAACAGCTTTGGCTTTAAGAATATAAAGAAAAAAAGAGAACTGATTCTGCAGATCAAAGCAAAAATTCACAAAAGGAATAATCTTCTTCCCGTTCCTTATAGAATCAACCCCTAAAGGTCTCCTTAGGAAACCATGATGTGTTTCTTTGAATAAATGGTAGGACATTCAGAGGTCAGAGCCAACTTTCTTAAGAGTTTGCAGAACCATTAAATACGAAAGGCAAATTATTTCCATGAAACATTTGCTTATGAGCAAAAATCATCACTTGAATTCTTCGGGAAGATAACACAAAAAGTTCCATGATAATGGTAAATAACAACATCAAATCTCAGAAAATGAAAAGAGAAAACTAAAAGCAGCTAACATAAGATTATTTAACTTGCAATAAAATTACTGACCAGACTTTACCATAAGAAATATTTGTGTCACAGCGAAGGGAATCCCTTTCTGCTGAGAAGAAATCTGTTTGTAGCTCCGCTACCAAAAACTCTATTGCAGCATCAACATCACCATCTACTTCTAGTAAAACCTAGCATGAGATTAACAGAATTGCCGATAGAATATCTAATAGAGGTGAACAGCAGCATAAGATATTATTTCTGATATAACATTTCTTACTGTAGGAGACTATTTCTACCTGTTTGACTTTCTCAGCATTTTCGCAACCACTTCCTGCCATAACCAATTTAAGGGATCCTGCATCAAAACTCTCCTTAGCAATTCCTGCTTTAGACTTGCCAGACACAGCTCTTGCTTGAACAGATGGTGCTGAAAGATCAGCATCAGCCTTTCACAGACTAGAAGTGATCAGGATATTGCTACCAATTACATGTTAAAAGCAGATCACATAAATTTATAAGACATAACTGACAAGGATCACAAAAAATCTAGAAATGAACCTTGATTATAATTTGCTGAGCTGGCCCATTACAAGGGTCATCCTTCGACCGCACACTATTGTAATGTTCCTCATCGTGATAAGATCTGAAAAAAAGGTTGCAAAATGAAACTGAATAACTGAAACATAACTCCTATCTTCTTCAAATCTCTACCACTATTAAAATAAAAATAGAAGAAGCGGAAAAATATCTTAGTGACTGAAAATCAGTTGCACTGAAAGCAACAGAAATAATCATGGTATTCTCCCAACTGTATGGGATTGATAGAAAGTTTGTTATTCATACATCAATGCATATAAGGCAATCATATGAACATAGTTAGCATTCATTAATTTCAGTGATTCTTCATAAGGTCCTAATGCATGCAAAGGAAAAGAATGGTACAGACATAATAAATATTCAAGAATACTTACAAATGGACCATACGAGCTCCATGCTGATTAAAATTCCGGATGTACCAACGTGGAGACATGTACTGTATCATGTAAACAATGAGGACATATGAGTCAAGAACTCTCTTGAAGCATATCAAGCAAACAAGTGTGTGTGCCAATGTGCCCATGAGCACATGGGAGAACTTCTGTGTGCATTTCATACATATCTTTCTTCGTGCATGTGGATTTATGTGTGTCTGTGAACTCAGTTCACTTTGTGCATATGCACAAGGACAAATTGGATTCGTATATGGGTGTTATAATCACCCACTGGATGGTGCAGTGTGCTTTGCACTTCCTATAAGTACAATTTAGAAATAAATGTGAATATTCCCTGCCAACTTGTAGTTAGGTTTGCAGTTTTACAAGTCACTGGACTAGTTTTCATGACTTGAACTTACAATCAATCTGGAATCTCTTCAATACGATGTTTGACATCAAAAGAGTAGCTAAGAGGTGATAACCAATGGAAATGCCCAAAGGAAACACAAAAAATTTCCATTAGTATGGAAACAAGTGCACAAATGAGAGCCACACAAAACAAAGAATCTCACCCGATGAATGCACATATTACTATGTGTAACAAGAGAAGCTGCTTGTAATTCCATATGTCCAGCCCATGTGCCATCCTTGTCCATCAATTGGCAGTATTCATCAAATGGGACATCATCCTCGATAAAGGGTTCAAACATTTCACGATTCTTCTGTTAACAAAGCCCCATATCAGAAAGATTTGCAGGTTAGTATTTATCAAATAACATACACACATGCATGTGCATATACGTGCATGTGAGCAAGTGTGCAAATAGAGGGAAGGAGCGGTAAACCATCAAATCAGTTGCTTGCTAATGAACACCAATGTTCCTCACAAATCTCGTATAGCTAGGAATGTAACTATCACCTAATCAAAGAGAAATTTCATATGGACATTCAACAGGAACGCATTGACAGTTAATAAAACGACAAGTTGTAACACAATTAATACTAACATTGGTTTCTTATTCAATCCACATGAATAGTTATTTTAGAATGGGCATTACCATTATATACTGCACCACCATACTGCGATACTTTCCATGTTCCTCCTCATTACCTTCCAGCTGATCTGCAAGTCCCCTGCAAATGAAAAAGAGTAAACAATTTCAAACAAGATGAAAATGCACATCCAAGATACATTAAACAATTTCAACCTGATCTGCACGTCCCCAGGTAACAATAAAATGAAAGTTTTCTGGTAAAACAACCTAAAAAAGAGTGCGTCTGATGCAACCATCAGCGTATTACAATAAAGTACACAATGTGCAACATAAGGTCATCCATAAACACAGACCTGAAAAAACAATTACCATCTGCAGTCACTTGGATAATTTTTAGGCCCAATGCATCAATCTGTGAACGAAACTGTATGATATTGGCTTGCTTTCCCTGTTTTTTCACCTGCAAACCATTCAACACTAATATAGAAGGCAACAAACTTTTTTTTAACATGTATAATACTAAGTAGCTAAAGAGAAACAATCTCCCACTTGATCATTTAAAACACTGCAAAATCTGCATTAAGCGGACTAAATTAAGCCCTTTTCACCACTAATCAGGTAAGGGGTCGAATTTGCAACTTTTCTGTTTTATCAAAATATAGGTTGGTTACTTTCATATGCTTAATCAAAATTTGATGTTGTAATAACTGACTTTGAACACACATAACAACAACAACAACAACAAAACACGCCACCCCATATAAATAGCAAGTAAAAAGAGAAACATCACAAATCGTATAGCAATGAATAAAAATATAAGGCACTAAGGGTGGCAAAGGAGAACTTGATAAAAAAATATATATATAGTTATTGGTTAGAGAGAGACTTACGTGGGGAGTTTTCTTGGGTTTGGACTTCTGCTGTTTGGTTTTCACCATTGTTTAAGATTTGATTATTAAGTAAATGATGCTGTCTTTTTGAATTTTTCTTTCTCGGACAAGACACAACACAAGCGATGTAGAGTGGAGACAGAGAGTAAGAGGCTGTAGATGGTGGCCGCTGTTTCCAACCCACAGAGTGATGGCGGCCGCCTTAATTGTACCTCTTATTTTATCTTAGAAATATTTATGTCTTAAATCTTAATCAAGCCCATTAAAATCATGGGCAGCCAAGAGATTCATATGGACCAGAGAGTTTTTGTTAAAGAAAAAACAAAGAAACTCACAGAATATAGCCCATGATAATAAAATTATCTAATAATTCGGTTTGCTTTACATATCAAATACGATTTGAATCGAATCTAAAAGGAGTTGAAGCGAAGAAAAAGTTGCATTGAATTTTAAAAAATAAAAAATTAAGGTATTATTTGGTAGTAAAAAATAGAAATGAAAAAGTGAATGTAAGTTTTATTTTCATTTTGTAAGTATTTAGTTGAAAATAACGAATAAAAATGAGAAAGGATTGATAAAAAAGAGAATGTTTGGTAATTGTTGCTACTCATCAAACTCGATCTTAAAACGGAGTATATCGACGCTTCAATTTATGATCAAGAACTTTAAAATGAAATAATATAGAATTCAATTTCACCTAATAAGTGACTAAGACTTTTTGTGGGTACTCAATTTAAAAAATATATATATATGAAATAAAAGACTCGTTAACAATCGAAAGAAATAACATTCGAGAAATAGAAAGAATTTCGTCAATTAGACGAGACAAAACTCACTAAAGAAAATGTAAATATCATAAATCGAAAGATATGACACTTACATCATTAGTCATCGAAACACTCGAAGTCATTTAACTACAATTAAGGAGGGATCAACACTTTCTAGGTTACAATAATGCAAATATTGAAAGTAGTAAAAGCTATCAAACTACTTGCAAAAATGTAGAAACTAATTACTACATGTAAACTAGAAAACTTTGAATAAATTTTGTGTTGAAAAAGTCTTGTATATTGATTGTCTTTTGATTTTGTCAATGTCTTTTCTTTAAATAGCCTAACTCGCCTTTAATTTGAAGTTAGGCACGAACGGTTATTGGTAATTATCCCTTCGTTTTCTTTAAACATGTTGCTTTGTCGAATATGGTTGATTGCAAGACTAAACGCATCGTTTCATTTAAGTCTTACCGTTTTATCAAACTTGGTTGATTTATAAGACCAAACACATCGTTTCATTTTGGACCTTACTCGTTTTTCATAAGAAAATACCATACTTGATCGACTTGTGGCTTTTTAAATTTTGAGGTGCCAACACATGCCCTCCTTTTAGCCCTTTAGAGATGAAATGATGAAAATTTCTTTCTCTAATAGACAAAGCATTAAATGCCGACAAATGTGACAAGATCGTACGACGTTCCATTTCTTAAACAGGTAGCTTTAATTTATTTAATGTCTCGGTTACCCAATAGATAGTGGTTTTTATTTCACCACATCCGAATCATTAAACCTTAAAACTTAACCATCACGACCCTTAAAATATATCATATAAAAGGAAAGGTGATTTTCAACATTTTCACTTTTACTCGCGATTTTTCCTTTTACTAAACTTTACAAGATTTAAAAAAAAAAAAAAAAAAAAAAAAAAACCTTTACTTTCTTTCTAACATTCTCGTCAAACATTTCTTTTGCCTTTTGTTGAATTCATTTTTCTTTTCTTACATGTACAAAAAATGGCTCCAAAAGGAAACACTAAGTCTTCAAAGAAGGTCGTTCAAGAGAAAGTTACCATTTAAGGAGATTGCTATCGAATGAATAAGCTCTTCGAGCAATCGAGTGCAATTAACACATGCCTATTCCGAATTGTTACCAAGAATGATGTAGTTGATGTTATGATTGGTCATAAACAGAGTCCACGGAAGAGTTCTTATTTGATGTTAGGTCCTACTATCAATATCAAAATTGTTCATCTTATAGATATGATCGACACAGCTCTTTCCAAAGACTTGTGATGCCTGGTATACTCTTTTCACCTAAACTCTACCCAATTCTCTAAAATTGGACCCAATCGCTCGAGTTTTTCCTATTGTTTGGTCAAAACCGGATACCAAATATGAAGACTAGGTTAAGAAAAGACTTATCCTATAATTAGTTTAAAAAAAAAGGATTCAATGAGAATTTGTGAAGACATCCTCGACCCACTCTTATGTCATAAATCCTAGTTTAATGATTACAATGATCGTTTTCTAGAATCCCCGTATAACTAATTTCAATTTCTAAAAGAACACATGTCGATGAATTTACTTGATGTCATGGCCATAACTAGTTTATATCCAATCGGCCAAACTTTGGCTTTTAAGGCAAACGGTGCGGACCTCAAAATCTAAGAGAATAGGCTTCTTAAACCTTATGGACACTTAATCAATTCTTGTGGAGAAGGGATAGAAATATCTCGTGATGAGGAGATTAACTTTTATTTATTATGGATTTGTAAATACATCATTAGCTTAAAGTAAAAAAAAACCAATTAAAGTCTTTCTACTTTAAGCTATTAACTTAGCTTTACTTGATGGAACAAGCTAAGTCGCTATAGGTCCAATTCTTCTCACCTATGCATATGCAAGACTTTATGATGCATTGACCAATAGGCTCAAGACTTTATCTTATACCCTCTCGGTTTGTTCAAATGTGGGAAGAGTTTTACTTTCCAACTTTGGGTTAAGCTCGATCCGTCAAAGAAGACCTAGATAACTACGACCACTCTATTATGCATAAGGTATTGTATTAACCTCTAACTCTTTCAAACACTTTAACGCACATCCTTGACTCTAAGTATAGACGAGATGTAATAAAAGATTAGACGTCATTTCATACACATAGATGTTGGCCATTGTTGTTTTGCTTAGATAAATTACTCCTAAAGGTACCATTTTCTACTAGCAAATAATCAATCCGGAATGTAGTCTTAATAAGTCAAGACTTGACTTACTCTTTTGGAGATCCGTTATTTGCTAAAACCTATAGCCCAAACCTCTATGTTCTACAATTTGGATTAATCCAAGCAGTCGCTAGACCATTAATTTCAACTATCAATTAAGCATGGAATAATAGAAAAGACATTCAAGATAAGACATTTGAGATTCCCTAGAGTAGTTTGCTGAAAGTGAATCGATGGCTTTATGCTAATGTGTAAAATATTAATGGCTATCGTTCAAATATTATAGTGACTTCTTCTTTCACTATGATGCGGTCGACATTTTAGGATAATAACTTCTCTCCGACAAATACATAGAAATTATTTCAAGATATTAGTAGTACATTGATATTGAGAAGATTACCATCAACTAAAACTAAACCATCCAAAAAAGCTTTAAGCCTTTCACCTTTTCTCGTTGTCATCAAATTTTTATAAACTATTTTCTAACTCGATTTACTTTTTAAAACAACCCCGATGAAGAAAGACATTTCGAACAAAAGGAAGATTGCTTTCTTCATTCTTTTACGGAAGATTCAATAGAATAGGAGTTGCCTCGAAAAGTGCATCGACCAACAAAAAGGCTCAAAAATGGTTTTAAAATTTACTAATCAACCAATAAAGAGAATTACAATAGTGTTTTTGAAACCTATTGGTTCTATAGGCCCAAAGATTAAGAAGACTTCTTCTCTTCTTTCTTCTTCTTTTATACGGAAGAGTAAGAACCCACTAGATGTTTAGTTGCTTCATGCAAGTACCTTTGAATCCAAAGGATTTTTCTTTGGAAGAACAAAAAGAGTTGATGGTATAAGAGACGATAAGGATTTCCACTAAAAATTTTCTATATTGAAATCTCTATTGCGTTTTAGACTTGAAAAAATTCATGCTTCTAACACGATCAAAGAGATTAAAATAAGATTTTTGCCAAAAGATTCCATCTCTTCAAGAAATCCTTGACCAAACCTCATACTCGAATGATAAGATCTCCGAAGTTGATCTATTTTTGCAATTGTGTTATTCAACTAAACCCAAACTAGATCAAGTAAGTCTATCCGATATTCTCTTTTAAAAATAATCTTCATCATGAAATCCAATAAAACTCACTTTATTTGACTATCTTATAAGATACCGAAGCCTTTATTGACTTCTCTTTTTGAAAAAGATTCAAGAGTTAAGGCTTATCCACTCATATAGGTGTACAAAAACTTATTGATTCCTTTTTCTTTCGTTGTTTTTTTTTTTTTACTAACTTTTATCAATCATTGTTCAGTTTTTACCTCTAGTACAGTGTATTGCTAATTGAACAACCATCAATATCTATTGAAGAATTGATGTTAAATCAATCACAAGGTAAATTTTCGATTCATCGACTTAGCAGAGGACAATTTTGAATAGATGCTAGCCGAGTAAAACTTTAGTGGCTTTGACATTTAAAAGTCCTAAAGCTTCAATTATAGTAGTCGAGTCTTCTGGAACTTATGCTTTATACGATCCACTCACTACTTTAATCCTCAATGAAGCACCACGTACAATAGTTTCGAGTAGAACATACCGAAGAAATTGACTCTAAAGATCTAAGCTCCCATTATAGTTACGATGAAGATGAAAGCTTGATGATTGACTGGAACCATAAACTTAGGATGGAGGTTAGTCTAAAATTAGATCCTTCATTAAGGCTTCTAGTAGCAATAAAGATGTATGTTAAGCTAAGCATTGTTTTAAATCGGTAAATTCAAATTATGTCTCACTTGATTGTAACAAGACCTCTTAAGATTATGGAGACCTAGTTTTTCATGTTTAGTAAATTTGTTGATCTTTTTAATTTCTTTCCAACTCTTTCTTTGGATGACTATGAACAAGATCTATTCAAGTCATCAAAGAACACGATCGCTAAAGTGTTGAAAGAAGAAAAAAGATCCAAGGCTCGCTTAAAGAAAATAGGCAAGTCTTCATAAGAGGGACTCCAACCAAAACTGTTGAGATTTTGAACCGGGAATAAATTAACTTGGAGCAAAGTTAAA